TGTACATGCACGGGTTTTTGGCATTGCCGCGATTTGTTTTACGCGATCGACATGCTATAAATATGTACATACATCGGGGCCGGTTCTAGACATGCATATGAGGAGGCAGACAGAAATGTGAAGGGGGCACATGGTGGCGACAAAGGCGGGAAAGGGGTGGGGTGGTGCTCTGGATAACTGTTTTTGTCATGTAATTGGATTGCACTTTGTCAGGCCTCTACCCTAAGACCTGTCCAACTTGGGGGTCCCACCTGAAGGCTAAGCTTCTGCTGGTGTAGCTCTTAAGGTCACTGAGGCACGCAAAGCCCCTGACCACATAAGGTGGCAATCCCTCAGGGGGAAAACTGAAAAGTAAAACAACAAAAAATAAAATAAAATATTCCTCATCAGATTAAAACAAGTAAAAACATGACATTTACCTTAATTGGATGGTCTATATCAAACATATTTGAACCCAACAAAACACTTTTCACTATTGCCGATATTACCAAAACTAAAAAGGGTAGGCTAAGTTATGAAAAAGAAAAAATCAATTCACCGAGTCTTGAAATATAAAACTGAAAAATAGGATCAGTCAGGGTTCATTTCACTACGTGTTGTACTTCTTATAACTATGTATGTGATGAATAAAGAATCTTGAAATCACAACGAACAAGTCGCTCAATGAGAATGAATGACGTAACCGACTGGCTAAGCTGCTTCTAGCGCCGAGGTGGTTAAAATGGTACGGTCCACACTAGGGGTGTCTGAAATCGTTTCACATAACATTTTTTTTTTTTTTTTTTTTTTTTAAAAGATAAAATTTTCCTACAAGGTGAGGTTAAGACCCCCTCCCCCCAAACTGCTATTTTTGTCTATTTGGGGGGGTCTTGATCGGGGGGTATTGGGGGGTACAGTACCCCCCGATCAAGACCCCCCCAAATAGACAAAAATAATTTGAACCATGATCTCACGAGTCACTATGATTTTGACGAGACAGAGTGCTGCTTCCTTCAAACCTCCCGCAATCACGCAGCTTATTTCGCTCTGCCCTGCCTACTGAGAAACTGGCTCATTTGCATACTAACAGTGATTGGATGTTTAGCTGGGGGGAGGGTGAGTGGGGGATCTCTGCCGAGTGCCGTGTGAGCCCGCGCACAAACAGAACGCGGAGGGAAAGAGCGAACAAGAAGTGAAACTTATCATCTCGTTTGTGCCTTTTTCAGTGGATTTTTCAGCTACTGTAGTAAATCTTGTCCATATTCAGTTTGTGGGTAATTATTATTTTCTTCCTCAACTTCTAAAAGTTTGATTTAAGGGGGAATGACGTTTGCTTAAGGGGGCGTTGCCCCCTCTTGCCCCAGCGTAGAGCCGGCTAACAAAAGGCATATGTGCACCAACTAACAGCAGAGATTTACCAGTATACAATAAAAACCACCGTCGTTTCTCGATACAAACCTTTAATTATATTCTCCAACATTGAAAACACAAAGATCGCTCACAAAATCACAAAAAACTTGCGGGGTGTACTGTAGTTCGTTTTTACAAAAAGCTAACCAGTGTCAAAATTAAATTCACGAGTCATTTCGCTCTGACACAGCTCTGAAAAGTATCATACACGTGGTTACTATGGTTTCCTCACAAAGTCTAAAATGCTTTGTTGCTTTTGCCTTTAACAGTCTGCTTGAAAACAAATGCTTCAATATTATTTATGCTGTCTAAAAAAGTTTTACCTGGATCGCGTTTCACAGCTACGTGGTTCAGCAAATTACCATGCAAATGCGATTTGAATACGCGCTGTTCAGCGCTTGTGATACATTTTTAAAAGCCGGTGAATCGTCATGGGGATCGAGAGAACCGATGTTAAGTGGCGATTTTGGCCCTCTTTTGTGCTCGAGATATTAGGGTTCGGCGACATAAAAGAATCTACATAACCGATGAGAAAATGCTAAGACAAAGAGGGAATTTGGCGGTTCCACTTCAAAAACGTCGACTTAATAGGGTTGGCGAGTTAACCGAGGACGAGATAAGTAGGTTCGACTGTGTGTGTATTCAAATGTATATCGAAATATCGGAAATGTGTTTAAAAATCGTATCACCGTTTATTGAAAAAAGTTTTATCGCGATATATATTGATATCGAATTATTGTCCAGCCCTACAGGAACATGCTACTTTTGAGATCAAATTTTGGAAATGATTCAGCAGTCCTATTGAGCGCATGCTATTTCAGCTGTTCCAAGACATACTGGCTTCTAACTAACATTAATTGTTTGTTAAATTTGTTAAAAGCAATTAGGAAGAAAATAAATCAATTCGTTTATAATGAATGCCTCATAGCATCTTTGTGCACAACAGACTATACATAAATTCAATAGAAAAAAAGAGGTCTGTGGCTAATGGCCCTGCAGCTTCCTGACTTGTGGAAAGCTGAACCCAGTCATCACAAGTTATTGTACAAGACACCTGTACAAACAGCACCATCTGAGAACAGACATGGATTACATAACCTGAGGCAGGTAGCTTACATTCAGCCTCCTGCACTGGAAGCTAAATGCCAATGAACAAAGCCATTCTGACAAGACAATCTGGCTCATTGTAAAGAAAATCTGCATGGTACGAAACTGGGGCTATATAAGGTGGTAACGGTACATAAAATTCACAGTTCTGTACACATCTGGGTTTTGGGTTCACAGTTCAGTGCAATTTTGGTACAGGGGGAAAATTTGTTTTGAAAATGCTTATTAAAACTGCAAACAGAATTTAGGAACAGTTATAAAAGAGCACCTTAAATCCCACTTGCAGAAACCAACTTGCAGAGACTGTCTGCCTTGCGGCAGTCACACACACATTTGGACGATGTCTGAAGTAAGCATATACTGGACCTGTTTCCAGCTAGATATCCGACTTACAGTCTTGGTCTTAACACTACTGATTTAAGTGATGTGGAAGGGCATTCCAGCTGTTGTTTCGACGTTACAACTGACTAATCAGCAGTTGCAGATACCAACTGAAACACAATTAGCATAATATTTTCCATCTACTTCTGAATTTAGGTTCCGCCCATGTCAATAAACGTATTCATTTGTTTCATTGCGCATACCAAACTAAAAAATTTGAAACTGAAAGGCACACGATGAACGTGTATCATTACAGCCCTACCAGTATATCTAATTACATTAGAAGTTCATTTACACCCTACTAGGGGTGTAACGATGCATTCAGCTCACAATTCGATACACTTCACAAAATTTATAACAAATGTCATTTCAATACGATGTCTTGGGCCTGCCTCCTCTACAATCTGATTGGTCACCTTTCTGAACCAATCATTTTTCATTCTCCCCTCAGAACATTTTTGTGTAAGTAAAACTCCCATGAACTATTTGCTCAGCAGCCCAATATAAACTGACGGTGGAGCTGTTATGCCAAATCTCTTCCCCCATCCAAATTCCTTCCTCCTGTGTTTCTGTAAAGATTCCACTTCAACCATAGCGCTGAAGCAAGAGTCCACAGCAATAAAATATGACTATGAATGTTTTTTTAAAAGAGTGTTTTTATTAAGAGATCATTTGCATTTAGCTTAATAGTACGACCAAAATGTTTTATTAGTGTATCAATGTATATTTAGTTCAATGGCGATATGTTTCATCAATTATAACCGCACAACTGGCTACAAGCGAAATATACATTAATAATCTAATAAAACGTGTAAGTTGTACCATCAAGCTACATGCAAATGACTTCTTAATAGTAATTAAACACACACCTTTAAAAAAAGCATTTGAACACGTATTTTATTGCTGTGAACTCTGCAGCACTAAGGGTGACCTGGAAACTTTACACGGTCACTTGAAACGTACATGGTACCTTGAGACTGCATCATCACCATTGCATAATCAGCCTAACAGCTGAGCGATAGGTCACACGTGGAAGGAATTCGGGTGGTAAGAGATTTGGCATGACAGCTGACATTGGCATTAAAGAACAAACACTAAATAAAAGGCACAGTTTGCAACGTAGTGCAACACGGCTTAAACACTGCAACCGCGTATTGAAACATAACTGAATCACAAAATTTCGTTTATCCATTACACCCTACCTTTCAAAACAAGTTTGCCTTTTGTAAATGACATCAGTTTCAAAGTACACTACAGGGAACAGACAGGGACCCATAAACTCCCAATACGTTTCTTGCATGACTCACCCTATTCTTTTTGTAGTCGCAGAGGTACTCTACTTCATAGTCATTAAAGTTCTTTTTGTTCAGTCCCAATTCCTGGCAGAAGACCCTCTCCTGCCTGCAACAAGTCTGCAGCTGACTCAGTGACACCTTGCATGCCACACTGCAACCTGCAGGGGAGACAACAAGCAAGAATCATGCCAACATTTACAGCATTTAGTAGCAGCACGACCGATATTAACCATTATAACCAATTCTTCTGGAATGATCAGTTATTCCAGTGTTTTCCCAACTCCGCTACAAAGAGAAAACCCAAGCTTCCTACTTGTTTCAGCCATGTCAACTAGATCTGTAGACAAGTATAACTTAAGGATCCCCTTGCAGAAACAGTTATGCTGACAAGGGGTTTAACTTTCTAATTTGCCTTAAGATGATTCACTGTGGGCATAACATAATAAATTAACACACCATAACACACAGTACAAAAAGATTAGTTATAGCATCCGGTATGCATACATTTTGAAGACCCTACACAGAAAATTCTGAAACTGGCTATAAAGGTCTAATAATGAAGAGCACCAATAACAAAGAGTCAAGCTTAAACACGTTAATTTGACAATGGCTAAAATAAACAGTTTGGCTAGAAAAAAAAACTAAAAAAAGTCCGGAGGGCGAAAAACCAGTTATGCTACAGTGTTGTGAGCAACGCAAAACGTTAAGGAAAAATGCTTTGCTACCGTTTCGTAACTTAATATTGCAAGACCTCTGTCTTATCAATAAAAACATGAGCTAGAAAAATATGATTCCTACATCTTCAACAGTATAACACACATATAAAGTAAAATGCAGTTATCAAAAGATTAAATGTCAGTTTAATATTAATCTGGGGCCTAAAACATGTTCTGATTTACGAATGAATAATATGCTTGTGCAGCTGTTAGTGTTATAGCCACAAATAGAGCCAACCCGTTTAGTGATTATACAGCTTCATTAACATTTGCACTGCAATATCAGACGCTTCATTTTCATGTATAATCGCAGCAACACACATTATTTAGTCTCACAATCTTATAGATAACTACATATTAAAACCAGTTTACCGGAAAAATGTAAATATGTTTCTTTTTATTTTCTTTCTGTTGTCACCTGAGTATTAGGCCGCATGCTTTTAAACACTGTCGTAAAGTAAGGAGTGGAGTACCCCACAATTCATAGTCTTGATTACTCCGAAACACATGTGGCTAAAACTGGCGTCGACTATTGTAATACCAGACGGCGGATTAAAATTTGCCATTAAATTGCTTGTGAACAGACGGCTGCGCCTGTGGATCTTGCCTCAGACTAATCGCCTTGAACACAAGGAACCGAAGCAGACAGCCGATGCACCAGTAAAAGTTACCAACTATAATATTTAGCCTAGCCCTAGCTGCTTCTCTGCTCCCATAATAGCGGCCTGCCTTCTATCATTACCCAGCGGCTCGAGATGGACTAACAGGTTGCAGGGTCTCGTGCTGCACAATGTTTGCGACGGTTAGTTAAAGCTGCCTTGGATCTGTACTCTTTCGGTAATCCGTCGTTACGCTAGTTTGGCACTGTGGAGATCTACCTAACAGTTACCAAATCGCCGAAAGCCACTTAGCCAGCTAACTAGCTCGCTGTCAGAATTCCAGATGCCTCGTCGCAATATATCGTCGATTTCCGTATTCTCACACTACGACGAAGAAATGGGACAGTTTTTTACAAGCAAAACGCAAAACCCCTGAGCAATATAAAGCAATACTTCCTACCTTTCAAATTTTCCGCCATCTTCTCCCCACCGCCAAAATCGGAATGCTACAGATGGGCGGAGGTAGGACATCTGGGACATCAACGATTGGAAGGTTTGGTATTCACTGGCACTCGTTTTGTCCAATAGGCGTCGAGGTTTGCTGATGAATTTTTCAAATGGACAGAAGTTAACCAATTCCAACTCACAAAATGTAAGGGAAGCTGTGTGCTCGATTTGAGCAGGACAACGGCCAATCAGGAGGCGTCGCTTTTTCACGTATATAGGTATTCTTAGAATATAGATCTTCGATATTCTTTTTCTATGTATTTGTGTGGCATAGCGTTTCGTTCACGGAGTATATTTGAAAGCCAGCCAACGTGATATTACCGAAGTTAGTGATTTTTCCATTCAACAAAATGTATATCAATCAAATAAATGAGTTTATTGTCTCATTTTCTAACTAGCACTGGAAATTTACTGGGTATGAATAACCGATTTGAAGATTTATATTTTATGTGAGTGATTATGCAAACAATTCTCAGGTATGTATATTTGGATGTAGCACACCTTTCAATGAAGACGTAGAGGTAAGCATAACGGATTTGTACATATTGACATTATTAAAAGGCGCTCAGTTGAAACGGTTTAAAAAGTTGTAGCACTGACACTGCTGCGTTAAGAACTAGTACTTTTCTTTTAATACCTATTTAGTTTATGAGAACTTCAAATTTTCTTAAGATCAATCTTTCATTTGTTATTGTAGTTAATAAGACATCTAGTTTGAATTCTGTCCATGCCTAAATAAACAAATCAAATCCCCTAAACAAGTTAAATTCAGCCAAGAAACCAGAAAGCTTCTAATACTAATTTTCTTAAAATTAAATTATAAAGCAGAACAAACTACTCAGAATTGTTTTACTTCCAGTAATGGCATTTATTATGAATAAAGCACTCATAAATCAGTAGTAATTTATCAACCTGCAAGACTCAAAAGAAACATCCACACAAAATGGTACCATCGATTTTTTTACATCCCACAATCACATTCAAAACACGAGGCACACTGTAGTGCACTGCTTCTGACAAATGCGTCCCAAAACAATATTGTTTACATGGAAAACTGCAAACTACATCTCAATGACAAATACAGACTTTGAGAGCCACAAAAGGCCCAGGGTTTTCAATCTAACAAAACACAAAGGTAATCCCTTAGTGTCAGCATGTCTTAGGTAGAGCTCAGGATCATTAAACGTTTCTTTGTTAAAAACAAAATATTTCACTGTAAATTCTTCCTGTATATCCTAGATTTATATCTGATTGCACTTTAGTTGTGTATTCAATACAATTACTCTAAACTGGTGTGAAATATTAAAGCTGCCACTTCAATGCTAAGCACGTCAGATTCAAAAGCCTCGCAGTGTTTTCACTTCAAATTACGAGTAAAATATGTGAACACATTGTGATATTTACTTTGCCTTGTCAGAAATATCATTAGAATTATATTGTGTGTTTTAGGATGCCTTTTCTATTTTCTATGGCAAAACATTTGTAAAATATCTATAGTCAGCTAGTCATCCCTGCACACATTTGAATCATGCAAAAACCCAATATCTGTCAAACTGTGGTCCTGTCCATTTTTGGATGGTTTCATTCATGCTTTTATAAGCTTTTAAACTGCATAACTTAAGGCTGAAATACAATGTTTTGCTCTTGTATTGTTGCATTCTAATGAATGAAAGTGGTCCTTTATAGGTCTGGCAGACATAAACTGTTACTAGTAAATATACTTGATGTAAATTTGATACTGAAGTATCATTCAGAACTCCATGAGAATGTAATATTCTGCCAGCTTTGAGTGGTACTGCCACAAACATCTCACCCTTCCAAAAACAGTTGCATAAATGAACGTAGTAGTTGTTACTTAAGTAGTATTTAAGCCACAAAGACTCAATGAACAAAGTGGGCTCCTAAGCTTTCTGCTTGCAATAAATACTCAGTTTCTGTAATTTGTCATTTTCCCCACCAACCCATGGTTTAAAAAATAAAAAAAGGGTTAAGCATCGACATTGCTGCTTACAAGCTTCTATTATGTCAAGGATGTAAGATCTGAAGTATTTTTATCTAGTTATGTCACGGCCATATACACATGTGGTCTTTAGGGATTAGGTAAGCATTTTTTTACCCTGTATGTGGCTTTGAACATAAACAATTGCAACATGAAGAGTGGTGGTTTTGTGTGACTGGAAACGAGAAGTAGGTGTGGTCACTTCTGCTCCCGCCTCCAAATGATAACCATGCCAGTTGCATCCGAAGAAGCCAGGAGGCTTTCGTCACAGTTAAAGCTCACGTCCATCACTGGCCCACTGTGGCCCTGCAGCTTGTTGACGATGGGTTTGGTGTTGCGCTCCACATCAAAGAAGTACACACAGGCATCTTCACTGCCGGTCACTGTAGAAGCCAGAGATGGACGAAGTGCAGTCAGATAGGATCCACACAGAAATAAAGCTCTGTTCGGTTACAGAAGGGCTGTGTGTAGGTCTTACCCACGCAGGCACCCTGTCTGAAGGACATCAGTGGGCAGAAAATGCTATGCAGAAGCTGAGAGCCATGCTGGATAGGGAAACTCCTCTTCAGTTGCAGTGTGCCCTCATTGTCTACAACCCTGTCAAAAACATAATAATCAACACTACCTATCTATTCATCTTCCCATCATTTAACCAGTACCAGATAGCAGTGAGTTTGGAGTCTCTCACTGGAAGCAGAGGGTATAAGATGGGAACATCCAGGATGCCAGACTAATCGATAAGATTTCTAAGCATATGCAAATCATGTAATACCCCAATAGCTGCCAGCACTTACACAGTATTACATAAGTATTCAGTATTATGTGACTGACCTGTACAGCAGCAGCTTGTTGACGCAGGCATTGACCAGGAGGGAGGGGTCTCGGGCCTCCCTGCTGATCCAGGAGCGGGCTGATATGCTGGAGATGGTGCTCCCCTCGTTCACGACAAGCCGCTTGGCTTTCGTCAGCTTTCCTGTGAAGGGAAAGCATAGCGGCTGTCAGGCCTCGCATGTCACACTCACAGGCTACCCATTCCTCCAACGCACAAATAACTCTTTCAAACAGGGGAATCCGAAAAGGGCTCTGGAATCATTTATGTGGCTAGCGGCATAAATACCGTGTTGGCTAATCTGGCAAACACAAAACGACAAAATTATCAACATAACACCATGCTACCTTTAAAAATGTTTTTTCACCATTTAATTTGATTTTCTATATTAGTTGGTAACAACACAAATAGAATGATGAACATATATCATATTTTGTTGAAATACAGCAATGAAACCGCACTGTACCCTAACCCATACTGCCCCTTGTGGGTTCTAGAACATACCTGTAGCCATGTCAAAGAGGAAGGAGAAAATGCTGCCACAGTCATCCCCAGCCCAAAGGATCCGGCCTGGAGCATCGAAAGATAAGGACAGAACTCGGCCTGTGAGCTTGCTGGAGCCTCCCTTCACTTTCTTCCCAGTGGAAATGTTGACCACCTGCAGGATATGCTTACTGTTCCCCACCTGGGCAAATGAAGCAGGAAAAAGTCCAAGAGAATGTGAAATTGGGTATGAAAAAAATTATGAAATGCCAAAAATTTCAAATTCTTCACATGACAACAGAGATGCAAAATGTGCAATAATAAACCACATCGATTGTTCTGTACATCCAGTCAGCTGGATTAAGACAATAAGTCACGCTAAAACATTCTTACTGTCATATGAAACTAAACTTGGCAAGCTTTAAATTTTAATGATAGATTTTGAGAACATAAGAACATAGTTCTTATGTTCTAAAAATCATTTAATATTTGTTTACAAAAAACAAGCAGTCTAAAGTTTACTTTGGCTCTGCATGTCCTGTCTGAGCCAATCATAATCATTTTCATCCTTGCTGTCAGACTCACTAATAGACAGTATGGTGCATTTGTGATAATTTTAACAAAAATGAGTGAGGGGGTGAAAAGTTAGCTGGTCACCAAAAGACAATCGACTTCCGCTGTATGAAAATATTTAGGATTCCAAGGAAATTATATTAAGCAAAATCAAATGATTTGTCAGCATTTCTTTGTGTCTCTTGGTACAACTCGCAGCAACACCACTAACTTATTTTATAGACTTTATTAATAGATAAGTGCTATTTGGCTATTGTTTACTTCAGGTAAATTTCAATTCCATTAATGTTTTATAAATATCAATATTAATCACAAAAATGTCATATATTGCAATGTGAATTTTCTCCACTATTGTGCAGCCCACCAACTGACAATAAGATGATAGAGTCCTAATGTGGTGTGTCTACTAACCACAGTCAAGTTGTTGTTCATGGGCTGGAAGGTGCAGCAGAGCAGCTCGCTGGCATCGGGGTCGGCCACCTCGCGAATGCAGCGTCCGTCCTGCGTGTTCCAGATGCGCAGCGTCCCATCCAGCGATGTGGACACAATGATGTCATTGCTCAAAGACCAAGCAAAGTCGGTGACAGGCCCAGCGTGGCCCCTAAGGGTGACCTTGACACTTGGTGGGGCCGGGGACAGTGCCATGATGGACAGAGTGCCATCCAGGGAGCAGCAGGCTAGCAAGTGCTTGTCATCGTTAGCAAACTGCAGCCGTGGGACTGTGGATCATTTACAAAGGTTAAGGTACAGTCACTTTAGAGCGAAAAATATCTGCCGACTTTGAGTAGAATAAAAATGACTGTGACAGGATAATACAGTTTACCGTGGTATTTTCATATGTAGAATTTCATCATGGGGGAATCCCCCGCCAAGATACCAGTGTAATGGTGTGCTCTTATGACAAGACATTACCGGCACATGTAACCCTTTATATTGCTAATGCATACATGCGTAGCCAATCCCTGGTATCAGAATTATGCTTTTAGTGGTACCCTCAAGCCAACAGCCAGGCACCATTTTTCTGTTCTGATATTTTATATATGGGCAGCTTGCAATCAAAGAGGATGGGGTGCCCAGATACAACTATGATAATGGCCTTCTCCATTTCTGCCTGCTGCGAATCAGGGGTGAACCCTGCTCATGCCATACCGGATTGGTTCAGCTACACAAATTCATGTCAAATTCATGTGAATGACCTCAGAGCAAAAACAC